GGTCTCTGGCTCTCTGGTCTCTCTCTGGTCTCTCTCTGGTCTCTCTCTGGTCTCTCTCTCTCTCTGGTCTCTCTCTGGTCTCTCTCTGGTCTCTCTCTGGTCTCTCTCTGGTCTCTCTCTGGTCTCTCTCTGGTCTCTCTCTGGTCTCTCTCTCTGGTCTCTCTCTGGTCTCTCTCTGGTCTCTCTCTGGTCTCTCTCTCTGGTCTCTCTCTGGTCTCTCTCTGGTCTCTCTCTGGTCTCTCTCTGGTCTCTCTCTGGTCTCTCTCTGGTCTCTCTCTGGTCTCTCTCTGGTCTCTCTCTGGTCTCTCTCTGGTCTCTCTCTGGTCTCTCTCTCTGGTCTCTCTCTGGTCTCTCTCTGGTCTCTCTCTGGTCTCTCTCTGGTCTCTCTCTCGGTCTCTCTCTCTCTGGTCTCTCTCTGGTCTCTCTCTGGTCTCTCTCTGGTCTCTCTCTGGTCTCTCTCTCTGGTCTCTCTCTGGTCTCTCTCTGGTCTCTCTCTGGTCTCTCTCTGGTCTCTCTCAGGTCTCTCTCTGGTCTCTCTCTGGTCTCTCTCTGGTCTCTCTCTGGTCCCCCTCTGGTCTCTCTCTGGTCTCTCTCTGGTCTCTCTCTGGTCTCTCTCTGGTCTCTCTCTGGTCTCTCTCTCTGGTCTCTCTCTCTCTGGTCTCTCTCTGGTCTCTCTCTCTGGTCTCTCTCTGGTCTCTCTCTGGTCTCTCTCTGGTCTCTCTCTGGTCTCTCTCTGGTCTCTCCTCTGGTCTCTCTCTGGTCTCTCTCTGGTCTCTCTCTGGTCCCTCTCTGGTCTCTCTCTGGTCTCTCTCTGGTCTCTCTCTGGTCTCTCTGATCTCTCTCTGGTATCTCAGGTCTCTTACTTTCTGGTCTATAAATTAATAAAAACAAGTCCTATAAATATTTTCTCAAGTAAATTACAAACATTCTTGAGCACAAAACAAAAGTAACTCCTGGTTTGTATAGGGCACTGTCCGGTTTCCGAAATGTGCTAAAAATAGCTCAGATGACTGCGCATGCGCGCATGTTTCGGACAAACATTGAGTACGACTCGTTGAGTTCTACTGTGTTCTCCTCATACGCGTGTGTATTTATTTGGGCTAAATCATTGAATCATGGTGACAACAAAACACTGCAGTTATGGTGCTTGTGGGAGCGATTTCAGATACTCTGAAAAGGACTATATGAAAGTAACATTCAACCCGTTCGTTAAACCACAACATCGGACCAGACCAGGACCAGACCAGGACCAGATCAGACCAGGTGGGTGCTTGTGGTCGGCAGAATTTCTCTCATGAAAAGGTTAAAAAGGGCACATGTTTTTTCAAAACACTTCGCTGGACCAACTGTGGAGCATCCAGATCCAGTCCTAGCTACGTTTAGCTGGGACTGGATCTGGACCGCTGTATCAGGTCCGTCTGAGCTCTTCTGAATGTAGTTTGCCCCATCAATCCATATTAGTATTGTTTGTCCTAATCCAGAAAGTATACAATTCTCACACCTGAAGAAAGATGAGAGGGATTTTTTCAACTTCGTGACTATCGGAAAATAAGCACAGACGAAGCGCGTCCGCTTATTATACGGCTTTGTACCAACTG